GCGGGGCCCGGCCGCGGCGGCGGCGGCGCCAAGCCGTAGCGGCGGATGAACTCGTCGAGCGCCGGCTCGGGCGGCAGCTGGAGGGGCGTCAGGGGGGCCTGCCAGAACGGGTGGTGCGCCAGCTCCTGCGGGGAGGGGCGGCGACACGCGCACGTGCGTGCGTGTGATTGGGAAATGAGCCCAGCGGGCCAGCCTGCGGACAGGAGCCCAGACAGCAAACGAACCAAACCCGCCGCGTCGATGGATTTAGCAGTAAGCTGCTAGGACAGCCGCCGCAAAGCTGCAAGGCGGGGCTCCCTCGCGTCTGAAGGCTCCCCGCCCGCGAGCGGGGCCCCTTATGTCCGCTCGCCTTCCACTTGATGCGCGTGGCCGGGTTCTTGTCCAGCAGCCGCGACAGCAGGTGGGCAAACTCGGGCGACGCGCCTGTGCGGGCGTTGCGGCGTGCACATGGATGGATCAGCGTTTCTTGAGCAAGCAGTCCTAGGACGTGCGTCAGACCGGCGGCGCAGCGGCACAAGGGTCCTGCCTTTTGACGCTCTCGACGCAGGACACTCCTACCGCCTCCTGGCCCCACCGCCACCCCACCCCAAGCCCCGCGCCCCGCCCCTGCCCGCGCCGCACGCGCGGCCCCGCCGCCGACCCCGGGGCCCGCCGCCGACCCGCGCCCCCGCGCCCACCCTGCACGGCCGCGGGGTCGCTGTTGAGTATGTCGTGCGCCAGCTGCGTGAAGCTGCTGTTCATGAACGGCGGCCGCCCCACCGCGCACTCGTACAGCACGCAGCCCAGCGACCACAGGTCGGACGCGGTCGAGTGCGTCGCGCCCTCTGAGAACAGCTCGGGGGCCATGTAGCAGGGCGTGCCGCGCTTGGCCTGCGGCGGGCGGAGGGCGCATGAGCCGGGGAAGCGTCGGATGCAGCGCGGCGTGAGCAGCGGCCCGGCCACGCCGCTGGCCTGGCTGCGCCGCCCTTGCTGCGCTGACAACCCCCACTTCCGCAGGCGCGCCGCGTGTCCCTGTGGCGTCAGCCCCCCGAGCCCCCGCTCCCCACCGGCGGCAGGTTGGTGACCGAGGTCTTGTTGATGTCTGACAGCCGCCGCGACAGGCCAAAGCCGCCGAGCTTGAGGCGCCCGTTCTCATCCAGCAGCACGTTGGAGGGCTGGGTGGGGCGGGTTATACGGGCGCGGGGGGCACAGGGACGCTGGGTGCGCAGGGCGGCGGTGGTGGAGGGGTTTGGCCGGGCCATGGGGGCCGGCAGTCGTCCCGCGCCTGGGAGCGCGCCTCGCTCGTCGAAACCGCTGCTCAGGCACTTCTGCCGGGCCTTCCCGCCGCCCCGCCCGACGCGCCACCGCAGACAGCGCCGCCGCGGCTGCGCCAGTAGACAGCGCGAATTACAAGCAACGCACTTCCGCCGCCGCAGCCGCAACCTCGGTCGCCGCCGCAGCAGCAGCAGCTGGACCCCTGCTGCCGCCGGAACGCGCGCCACCCAACCGAAGGCCGCTGCCTGCCGTTGCCGCTGCCGCTGCCCCGACCCCCTCTCTCCCCCTCCCAATCCCTGGCCCTCACGGCCGCGCCCACCTTGATGTCGCAGTATATGATGCTGTTGGAGTGCAGGTACTGCAGCGCCACCACCATGTCGCGCGCAAAGTCATGCACGCTGCTCTCGGGCAGCCGCACGTCCTGGCGCAGCAGGCTCATCAGGTCGCCGCCCACGCAGTACTCCAGGATGAGCCACAGGTGGTTGGTGGTCTCGTACCTGCGGCACGGCGCGGCGCTGGCGTCATGCGGCAGGGGCGCGGCAGCGCGGGCGGCAGAGCCGCGTGCGCGGCGCGCGCGGGCTGGCGGTGCAATGGCATTCACGCACTGCTGCCGTTCTGCACGATGGGGCCGTTGTTGCTGCTTTGCTCACCAGGCGTAGAACTTGAGGATGTTCTTGTGGTCCAGCGCGTGCATGGTGCGCACCTAGCGTCCAGGCAGAGGGTTGGGACCCACATGGTGAGAGACTTGAGGCAAGGAACGCAAACGATTGGCCTCCCTGACTTGCTGAGCGTGCGGCGGCTGAGGCTTGACGCAGCTGCTGCGGGCTCTGGCGGGCCTCTTGTCAGACGTCGCGCCGCGGCGACACAAACTCACGCCCATGACAGCTGCAGCGCACCTCCTGCAGCACGCGCCCCTTCTGGCTCTTCTCCACGCTCTTGACGGCATAGTACTGAATGGTCTTCTTCTTGCGGCCCTTGTACACCACTGAATGCTTCCCCTTGCCTATCTTTTCGTATATGCTGCGCAGGTGCGACAGCGGGCGTGCAAAACGCGCAAGCGGCAGTTCAGCACATCGACAACGGGCCCGCTTGCACGGCCGACATCACCAGCAGATCGCTTGAAAGCACTTATTGGTGGCCCAATGCCCCTTACGTGCAACGCGGCAGGCAACTATCAGCAGGCCGCGCACTGGTATTGGTTCATCGGTCTCCTCCCCCGGGAGGGGCCTCCAGGGTCCCGTGTTGCGCCCCAGTGTCCACTAGGCCTACTGTCTAATTATACACGGTTGCAACATGGCGGAGTATGCTCCATATCGCCGATCGCCTCCGCCAAAATTGCTAAGTGAACCGCCTAACGTTGAGCTCAATCTCGAATCGAAGACGCTGTCTCTTTGGTGCTTGAATTATGTCTGGTCGCTAAAAGTTCAGATCACCGTCACCACTGTGAAGACTACAGTACCGCATGGATTTTTCGCACTCGTGGTTTGGGAGACTGTGGACGCAATCTTGGCGCAATTTGATGAAAGCACACGCTCCTCTGCTGAAGGCCATCAGGAGTGTTGCCAGCGATGATACCTGTCGCCCAGCAAGGCCTGGCGGCCCGGTGGCCGCCACCCTATGATGGCCCCAACCATACTGTACCCGCCA